AACACATTTAAGTTAAAAGAAGGTGCACATCGTGTTATGAAATTACCTCGCGCATTTTTTGAAAATGAGCTAAGGTGAAAGTAAACTTTATTTATTTCCATACATATACCTCATATAGGTATGAAAATACAGACGTTTTATGAACATAGAATTTGTATAGATGTGGCGCGTCCGAAGCTCTTTTGTGGATTTACCTTCATTAGGAACGATCAAATCAAAAAAATTGAAGGTCCAAGCCATACAAAAACATTGAAGGTCCAAGCCATACAAAAACATTGAAGGTCCAAGCCATACAAAAACAATGAAGGTCCAAGCCATACAAAAACATTGAAGGTCCAAGCCATACAAAAACAATGAAGGTCCAAGCCATACAAAAACATTGATGGTTCAAGCCATACAAAAGCTATGACACTCGAGTAGAAATGTTACGGGAAGAAGGATCAATCAGGATTTTAGTGGTGTTCATGTTGCTCAGTCTTTCGGTTTTCTATGTAGTGTTTTAGGACTCGTTTTGTCTTTTGGCCGTTTTCGTATTTTTGCCATGACATTGTCAGTTTCCCTTTAACTAGAATGTAAACTGCCATTTGTGTTTATGTCATCTCTTGTTCGCGTATTATGCTATTACATGTAGTTCATTCTTTTAATCTACTTTCATATCATTATAGATACATTGTTAACTGGTTGGTTCAATTACACGAAAGAAATGACAAATGCTGCAAGAAATAACAAGAATGTGCATGGTGTGCTGTTTGAAGATTTGAAATTGGTAGAACGATTATAAAGACTTTATTTGCGTTTGTCGGTTACTGTGGATTCTTTTATTTTCTCGGATACCTATATTCGTGGAGTCAGAAAAACTTGCATTTTCTTGGATATTTAATTTCGTGGCTTTGGCAAAGTTTGCATACATTCCTTTAGAAAATTTACAATTCGTTGAACATTTGAATTCGTTGTTCCCCTGTACCCACGAAATCCTCAAAAATTGGTATCCAACGAATGATAATGAATCGACAGTAATTCGACTAAAATAAAACAATGCGAGTTTCACAGAACTGAAATTTTATTTTCAAAATGTAACAGAATTTAAGGGTTAATGTAACAGTTTCAAAATTCCTTATTTATCATTCAACACATATCGGCAGATCTAAACGAAGAGAAGCGAAATCTGCCGAGTTTTGCCGATTGACTTCCCTATCTCTAATGAGAAGGACACATTTATTAAACAGATGCATAGTTTATATAGTCGAACTTTATAGTAACAAATTCTTGTTTGAAAGAAACTTCTACACATTCATCGTTGCATAAAGTACTATTAGTTCGAGTATAAATAAATATCAACCATTACAGAACTTGAACCTCTATAAATTTTAGTAAGTTCACGATTGCCACAAATGTTTAACAGAAGTTAGATATTGAATCTACATGTAAATACTAGCAAATCTAAATACTAGCTATAGTATATTATGGACATTAAATATCTAATTAAAAAAAAGAAAAACAATTGCCTAATGAAAAAAAAATTAAACCTTTACATATCACGAGGTTTGTTGATCATCGTTTGTGACAGATATTGCAAACGTCAAATATGAATAATATGATGTTGGAGATACATACACGAGACAGGAAACAAGCGCCATAACAACATCGATAGGACAATATACGATCTTCAACTTACCTTTTTTGAATTTGACTTGGAGTTCGGTATTTTGTTTATAATTGTTTCTATACAATATGTCAAGCTGTCAACAACTATGAGTCAATAACAGTTGTGAATAAAAAGAATAAAGACTAGCTATCAACACCAATTTTCCAAATGTCGATTTCTAACTTTAACATATACATTGTAGCGCCCGATTGAAACAATCAAACAACTTGCTGAGTTCCTGGAAGTTCCCTTTGACGATCAGTTTATAGCAGAAGTTGCCGATAAAAATGTCTTTCAAAAGTTAAAAGATCATAAACAGGATGCTACAGTTGCATTATCAAGAGAATATAAGTCAGTGTTGTTTAGAAAAGGTAAATATCAAGAGAATATAAGTCAGTGTTGTTTAGAAAAGGTAAATATCAAGAGATAATAAGTCAGTGTTGTTTAGAAAAGGTAAATATCAAGAGATTATAAGTCAGTGTTGTTTAGAAAAGGTAAATATCAAGAGATAATAAGTCAGTGTTGTTTAGAAACTACGCTACAAATACTTCGGTTAAAAATAAAAACGAATCCGGTGATCCACTTATATCGATATATCATAAAAGACGAAAGTGATATAATTATGAAATATCATCTGCAATCCAAATTATGAGGACAGATTTTCGGGAAAATGTAAATCAAAGGAGAAATTTCAAATGTTTCGCTCCTTTCTGTGCACATTATTTAGGTTTTAAGTTTTGATTGACTGTATTTCTGGAATTATAAATGCAACATTTATCTTTTGCGATGCTCTGATGCAGATCAACGAGTTCTAAATACAAACTAAATTGCAATGTCAAAATCTTGTGGAATTTCTCCAAAACTGTCATGGGTGTGTAAAATATTCATTTACACACATTTTGTCTATAAGAACTAGTTCATAAACTATCATAATTTAGAAATGTTCCTTATCTAAGTTTTCCCCTCCCTCCCGTAGCTCATTATAAATATATTTTTACTTTTTTTTGTATTCTTACAGGGGAAATTGGAGACTGGAAGAACTGGTTTTCGGTCTCGCAAAATGAACAATTTGATGTAATGTACAGAAAAGAAATGGAGGGTGTTGAAGTAGACTTCACATACGAAATACAGTAGATACTGTATCGATATTACGTTAAAATTTTGTATTAATCAAATATTAAAAAACGAATTCGACGGAGCCATATGAACTAGAAATTATTTCAACATAACAATGTATGAAAGTTTTCAAATGGATGAATTCACCAAAAATGCATTCACCTATCGGCCTAATAGTACATGTACCAAATCACTTACAACCCTGGTTGGTATAATCGTTCACACACAACCACACAACAACTGATAACCGATCTCTAGAAATGCAACCCTAGTTTAACATTATTATATAATTGAATGACAAATGTTAGTCCCGGGGACATTGCCACTGGGGATTATGGTAACCTAAAAGACTGATAGTACTCCAGCTGCGCTGTATTTTGATATAATGCTATTCATTCTATTGAAAGGTATTTCCGTCGCTTATTGGAGTTCATTGGGCACACATTTTACATATGATAAAGAAGGTATTTCAAAATAAGTATGTTAGCGACTACTAATGTTGGAATACCTAAATATGAAACGTTTAATAGTATAAATTCAAATGACTCTATCAATACAGCCGAAGTCGATTAAGGTCAACTTTGCCAACGAGAGATGCAGTCATAGTTTTAAAAGAGTAAAAAATAGTCCTTGAAATACATACAGATAAAAATGTAATAACATTACAAAATCTAAAAATTAAAGTACTGATTTTACATGTCGTAACGTGATGAATATTTTGAAGCCCACTGCTTCCAGGAAACACATAACACAAAAATACATGGATTTGCTGAATACAATTACTCATTGTAGCGAGCTTGGGATGATTCCGGTTTGTTTGTAGTACGCATGGAATCTGCTTATGGTACTGGTTCCCAAAGACTTGCAGAAAATAAGAAATCTGGTGAAATACCTTAGTTTGCAATTATTTACGGTGCATTCCCATGAAATATCCTGACTTAAGTGTTCTGTCGATACGGAAAGTAAATCCATCGTACATTAATGATCTTCTCCCCGATATTTTTGTCTGACAAACGAACTTTGTGCCTTGACGCAACTTTAAAACGGACTAAAATTATTTACTGAAGCGATCAGTATTCTGTAAAATTCGGAAACAAATTACTATTTACTCTGAAATATTCTCAATTAAGTTACATGTATGTCTTAACTATAACAGGATTTCTCATGATCACTTTCTTTTCTTATAGAATTCAATATGAAAAATATATAATTCAAATTTATAATTATGTTAAAAATTCATGATAACTATAGTTATATCTATTATGAATTATCTTCGTTATTACCTGTGTTACCTGTGAAATGCGCGCAAATGTAATCAAAAGCTGAGCGTTAACGTAAGAAAATTTAATCCCCAAATGTAATGCTCTCGTCCCATCCGGTTTCATACGAAAAAAGATTCAAAAAAATATTTCCTTGAATATGACAGTTGTAGGAAATTAATCCTGCATTTTATTGCAGAAAATAAATCTGAGTCATAAACAAATACCTTGGGTGATTCAAAGCAACATTTTTTAACATGTTTAAATGGTGTTTTTATAAAATATTTTGGAATCTTGAGGTGACATGGTTACTTATGCTTGTAAACAGGTAAAATAGGGGTGACAATTTAATTGGTTAACTTCTAGTGATGGTTATTATCTTATATGCAATGAAATGTCATGTGAAATTTTGACTGTAGTACTGAACAGGATAAAACGTTTCTCATGCTAAGTATTTCTTTATTTAAAACAAAGATGAATTCTGCACATTTTTTTTTTGAAAATGTCAATTTAACAAAGACAAATAGGGAATAACAATGGTTGTATTTCTCCTATTTAGGGAAGCTGTACATGCGCCTTTGACCTCTATGTACTCTCATTTTTTTAAATTTCATGCTTTTTTACAGAAAAGTTGCAAACATGAAATATTTTGAGTGGATTGAGTTTCAAAAACACATTTGAGGGAAACTTGCCTTGAAATATGGCTCTACCATGAATGTTAGTAAGCATAGCAAGCTATACTCAGTGATTTAGTGTTCTTTTTCTCCATATTTCTTATATTGGGCTATAAAAAAAAAACCTTTTCCTGAGTAATTATTTAAGAAATATACAGTCATAAGTAAATGAAATGTTTTTGAAGCAGTAACAACAAATATTTACTTAAAGAGAATCATTTTATTTATCCCTCTCTGAAAGGCGGCGTAAACTTAAGTTCAGTCAGCTTGAACACTTCAATTACTCACTTATTATCATATTTCGTACATAAATTTGTGATAGTTACTCCGAAATTTTTATTTAATAGCCTAAAAAGTTAAATTATTAATTTTTTTTTAAATGTTGACCCCGCCAACGCCACCGGAAACAGCACACCTTTATTACTTCGTAGAGGCGAGACAAAAAATATCTATTACACTTAACTTTTTTTGCTCTCTTATATCTGGAAAATCTATATCCGATGTAACCGTATTGCAATTTTATTGAATTGTGCATGAAGATTAAAAAGGCCAGGAATTGCATTCGGTAGATTGTAATGTGGAAGTAAGAACACAATTTTGTAGTGGTTAATTAGGAATCGTTTTTTTTTTTTCTATAACTTAAAGTAAGTTTTATTTTCCAGCGATCATCTACTTGACATGCATGAAAACTCGTGTCTAGAATTATAATATTATCTAAACACATTTCTAAGTAAACACATTAAATGTACACATGTCTTGAATATAAACACTTTTTAATGTGTTTTAGAATTAAAAGTTTTTAGGACTTTTAAAAACACTAATTTCGAAGCCAAACATGATTCTAAACACAATCAGATCGATCTAAACATGTTACAAAGTTAAACTAAGTTTTGTTAAAATAAGTGCTCAAACAAAGTATTTTAAATTGTTGTTAGGATCTAAACACCATTTTATACAGTTTATAAAAATAAGGAGATTTTGTATGATTGCCAATGAGACAACAATCCACCAAAGTTCAAATGAGGTGGATGTAAGCAATTATAGGCAAGTTGAAATGAAAACAAAACTTCAATTTAATGTTGTCATTTCCCTCCTTAAGTGGCAAATGACGAGAACAGAAGGCTATAGAAGCTTGATGTAAAATATTGCTATGCGAAATAAAGGCAACAGTAGTATACCGCTTTTCAAAAGTCATAAATCGATTAAGAGAAAACAAATCCGGGTTACAAACTAAAACCGAGGGAAACACATCAACTATAAGAGGAAAACAATGGAACAACAGAAACACTGAACTGCAACAAAAAAAACAAAAAAACACAAACAACAACAAACGCTAATAAAGTCCTGGAGTACTAACTTCTATTTATTTTTCTACTGGCTGTATACCTCTCTGGAACATGCTAATTATCCGTATATGTATACAGCTAGATCAGAGAAAGTCAGGGAAAAAATTCCAAAGGAATCGATTGATATGCAGCAAAGATTGGCACTTTTGGAATTAAGTTACTGAGCAAATTCAAACGGACCTTATCTCGATGTAAACATTGAATGTGAATAGATCGAGAAGACCGCAAATACATGTACAAAAATCGAGACGACCATTTCTTAATTTTTTATAGAAAATAGTAGAAAGATACCTACTTTATTAGAATATTTATCTTTAATTTCTGAACCTGCATAGACAGACTTTAATTTTCATATTCACGAAAAGACAATATTTCTCTATTGGGTGTACATGTGACAAGAGCAGACCGGTGTGCTCAATAACTTAGGTGTGAAAAAATAAGTAAACTTTGAGAAATTGTAACATGCTAAGGACTTTGTGGAACACTCCGAAAATTGGTGACCTGAAGGATCTTAACATTTTGTATGTACATGATTTTCTTCAATTTTTTAATCAATATGCAGCAAGGATTGGCATTTTTTTATATTTCAGTTTCACTAGCTTCTAATGCAATTATCTGGATAAATACCGAACATAAAACATAGTGTATTTGCATGTATATTTCTTATAACACAGTTTAACAAATATTTTTTTTGAAATGTACAATTATTATTTAGAAATAACTTTTGATCACTATCGTCACCGGCATTGTTTTATTATTGACTTTCTCGACTCTATAATAAGAAGAGTGAATTTTCTTTTGTTTTCGTTCATTAGATTTTCCACTGATAAAAGGCCCCGACATGAAAAATATGAAACAATTCAATTGAGAAAACTAACGTTTATAGATATAAGAAGATGTGGTATGAGTGCCAATGAGACAACTCTCCATCCAAGTCAAAATTTATAAAAGTAAACTATTATAGGTCACAGTACGGTCTTCAACACGGAGCCTTAGTTTACATGTAGAAAAATATCGGAAATGTATTTTTTAGAAGTGTGCGAAGATACTTTGTCATTAATTTTTGTTACACATGGTGCGAAATTTAATGCATATAATTTTCAATTCATAAATATGACGTAACAGAACGTGCATATTCATAAAAAAAGTGTGCTAATTGTGCCTCTATAAAAATACCTTTACGTTAAAAATTCGTGAACAAATGTCAATAAACTCGTCATAGATACCAAGATTAAAATTTTGAAAACCAAACGCGCGTTTCGTCTACAAAAGACTCATCAAGGACGCTCATATCAAAATAGTTAAATGCCAATTCAAGTAAGAAGTTGAAGCGTATTGACATATTGACTAATATGTACAAATAGATAAACATACGTTCAAAAGTTACAAAATTTTGCAATGAATAAAACATTTCAATTTGCAATAAATAAAAACATTTCATTTTGCAATGAATAAGAGCATTTCATTTTGCAATGAATAAAACATTTCATTTTGCAAGTGATACATATTGAATTTCAAAATCAAAATAGTAAGAACAGGAACCACTGACACAGGATTCTTACATAAAATGTTCCATATAATTTCATGACTGTATACCTCAATCTCATTTATATCCAAGTCATCATACTGAAAAAAGTTAATACTATTATGAATATGTTTTAACCTGCATTCAATAACTGGATTTGTTTTAATTTTTTTAAATTATGTCTTGTCTGGCCTTTATAATTGAGAATTTCCTTAATTTAAAATTTCGTCATTACTGTCAAATTTTTCATTTCACATCCAATATCTAGTTTTCTTAGGAGTCCTTTACATAATATCTTTGCCTGCCGGCAATTAATGCAAAATAGTGTATCATAAACTGGGATATAGAAATTTTGCTACCTTGACTCGAACCGTCCTGAAGGCAAAATCCATGCTAAAGAGAAGGTTGTTGGTTTTGCTAAGCAGTTAAAGGACTTTAAATGCAATGCCTCGTGTAGGAAGAGTACCACACTCTCTGAAAGCTGAAGAACTTTTGCAAGAAACATTTAAGGGATCCTTTTGTGAACCAATGTAATATTCTTTACCATCTTATCTTCTTTTTGGTCGAAATTACCTTCATCCAACTTTGCCGAATTCCTTAATTTATTAATTGTCAGTTTGGTCTTATCCCGAGTATTCATGACATATTTACAACTGACTGGACTGTGACAAAAAATTCTCAATCACGAGAACAGCAGATACAACCAACCGTTGGGGAGTTTAAGAGTGTTTTTCTTTTTCGCTATATTTCTTTTCGTATTACTCAATGAAAATAATAGAAACTTGTTTGTCAGTTTGTTCTAAATATGATATTTTAGGGTACGTTTTGGCTGCTTCCTTTAAAAATTGTATAATCATGTCTTTTGTAGAATATCTTACAATCAATCTCCGTACATTGATCGATCCAGCGAAAATCGGTACTAAAACTTTCGGACAGTATAATGCTTTACAATACTGTTAATGGTGCTGCTTTATTTGTTTTTATACATCTACAATAGTATTATGCTTAAAAATAAGGTTCACGTACCTATGTATTACTGTAGTTTGTGTAGTCATGGATTCCTATGCAATGCAGCTACAAGAAAAACAACACACGAAAACATTAATAAATATGTGTTCTTTTGAATAAGCATTGATTTGTATCATCTGCTAACATTTACTTAGTATAACATGTATAGAGCAGAGTTCCCAGGACAACAGTTGCATAGTAGTAATGATTATAACAAATCTTGCAAATGTAACACGCTAAATTGATTTATATGTGTAGTTACTATAAAGATAAAGTTTCAAATTATCAGTTAATCAAGTCCTCTTCCTCACGATTATTTGCCCTGAAATGCGACTGACCATTGAACATTTACTTCAAATGAATTACATGACATGTGCCACTTGTAGAGCAGGAGAAATTTTTCATCCTCCAATCACATTCATGTTCTGGTGGGTTTTGTTTCGATCAATCTTTGATCTTCATCTTTCTCCTTTAAAGCCATGGTGTAACACGTCTGTTTTTTTCCGACTTATTGTTATGAATTGTCCATAGATTTTATTCATCTTGGTGGTCATTTCCTCAGTTAGATTTTTAAATTTTTTAAAAGTTTAATGATCGTAAATAACTATATTTAAACATGCCAATTGTGTTTAAATTATTAGTCGTTATATTTGTTTTAAAATTAAAAGGCTAATACTGAACAACGATCATAAAGCAAATGCGTTATTTTTTGTTTTTGTTTTTTAACGTGTAAGGATTGTTCAAGGTTAAATTCATTACAAAAAATCACAGTGCAATCTTATGTTGTCGGATCAAAAAAAAAAAAAAAAAAAAACACCAGGCAAAACTGTAGAAAAAAGATAAACAAAAAAATACATGAAACAATTCACACTTTTTTCCAAATATGACTGATCTCAAATGCATGCGATAATTTTTTCTTTTTTAAGAAATATTTAATAAGTTAGTTAGTACCAATACATGTCCTCCTAGCTAATGAACTTTCAATTGACGAAAGAGCAGCATAGCTGTCTACAGAAAACGAATACTTTGATTTAGGACTGGACGCCATGATATCCAATTCTTGCTGATCAATGTATGGTCCAACCCCTGGTGAAAAAGTAAATTAATTCTTATTTGTATTCAATATATTATGTCCATGTTTAACTACTATATATAAAATAAGTGTTTGAAGTCTTGCAAACATTGGATGTCTTATTTATTTTTTATTATTTCAGGAGAACATTCATGACACATCTTCTCATTGGTTAATTTGTATGTAAAGATTTGATTTTTACTTATAAATAAAATAGAGGTATGGCGTATTGCCACTAATTCATTTCCCATCAGAGCTTTTTTCAAAAATTTTCCAATTTAAACTTAGATGCATGTGTCTAACAGCATAATAACGTTTTCTGGAGAAACATGGGAACACATTGTAAATGCCTATTGAGGTTTCAAGACTGCAATTGTGGTAAATTTGTTTAAATACTTGGTAATTATAGACAAAATATTCTATTCGAATGAAAGATATGTTTTGTCTTTAAGATGCAAACTTATTCATTTTAGTTGAGGTATATCATTCAATGTGAAACTTAATAATTTGTGATATTGTTTCAACACGGTCTTCAACAACAATATGCAGCACTGACAAACAATTGTTTATCTTATGGAAATAGTTCAATTTATAGAGAAATGTTTATGAATTAAATTTAAGTAGGTCTTAACAACTTCCAGATTTTGACTCTGTGTGTGAATGAATTTCAGGGGTAATTCGCCCTATTCCTTGTGATTATTCCATTTCTTTTGACAATGATTTAGTTGTATATTTTAATACTAGTGATTTTCTTATCCCAGGCATATAACCTTAGCCGTATTTGGCACAATTTTTTGGAACTTTTGGTCCTCGGTCCTCTTTGGCTTTGTACTTGTTTTGGCTTTCGGACTTTTTTGATCTGAGCGTCACTGATGGGTCTTGTGTAGACGAAACGCGCGTCTGGCGTATTAAATTATAAGCCTGGTACCTTTTGATAGCTATTATTTGGGTGTGTCTCTGTCCTGTATGTTCTCCCATTTATTTATATTGTAGTCCTGTCATGTAATCTTGTCATCTTAATATTATATTTAACATTGCCATAAAAAAGGGAGGTTTGGCTAGCCACAAAACCAGGTTCAACCCACCACTTTTTCTTAAAATGTCCTGTACCATGTCAGGAAAATGGCCATTGTTATATTATAGTTCGTTTCTGTGTGTGTTGCATTTTAGTGTTGTGTTTCTGTTGTGTCGTTGTTCTACTCTTATATTTGATGTGTTTCCCTCAGTTTTAGTTTGTAACCCGGATTTGTTTTTTTTTTCTCAATCGATTGATGAATTTCGAATAGCGGTATACTATTGTTGCCTTTATTTTAGTGTTAGTTCGACGTAGCATATTTTGGTATAAAATTTTATTCGGATTTGATAGCGAGATTGATACTGAAATTACTTCCCTTTTTGAATAATACATGATTTTTTTCTTTATTGATCACGTATCTACTGCATACACCTACACGTATGTTAAAATTTTGATACGACTTTTACAGTCATACAGTCTCCTTTATATGCGCTCTTAACCCTTTTCATTTGTTTACCGTTTTGTTTTTATTTTAACCTACCTATTGCAAACATGATAATTCCTTGATTTTTTGCCTTAATTGCTTGCATTTTCGTACGCAATGGTTTAGTTGACGCTCCGTCTGTAACAAGGATTGCAATCTTAGGGACTGTGTTTCCTCGTCCGCCACTAGCTCTCGTAAATCCATACTTATCAAGTAGTTGTAGGGCTTTATGTGTATTGGTAATGCCAGTAATGTATGGAATATTTAAGACAGCATTTATAACATCAGACTTTCTACTGTACGTATTTAGTGTAAATTGTATTTCTGCATCATCAGAAAATGTTATGAGACCAATCTTTATGTGATCTGGACCAATTGTAAACCTATTCACAACAGATGTTGCAAATCTCTTCAAATCGTTGAAAGCAGTGATACCTATACTTGTCGAGCTATCAGCAATGAAGAAAATGTCGGCCACTGCTCGGCGACAGGCTACAAATATAATATATGTTCGATTTAATGTTAAATCATTGCTAGCATAAATTTCCAATGTGTTATAGATTTTTATTTTATAGCATACCATTTCCAAAACAATATATGTTTACGTTGCCACTTAAACTGTCTTTATCATACTCAAATGAAAAAAAAGCATGTCTTATAGCCATTGTTTTGCAATCTTTCATTCTATAAAATTAAAAAATGTTCACATCCAAAGTTTGATTTGTCAGTGGTTGTGTATGTTAGAGATAAGCTGGTTAAAAGGAGCAAAAAACTACGACTATCCGACGTCTGAAATATATCAATTTAAAGAATAGATAATTGATTTAATTCAACTCAAGTATTTGATGTATGTAGCATACATATAATGCATATGTAATATTAATAGAACAGATAGGATATGGGGTATCCATCCATGATACAAAATAAGTACATGCACAGCAAAAAACACAAAAAGCAAAGAAACACCTCTTTTGTTGCTGTTCTTCATCTAAAAGTCAAAATGCGACCTTCAACACAGAGCAAAAACTCTCACCTCACTGTAAGTTTAAGACGGCTCTTAACACCGTTTTTTCGCGGAATTCTTTGCAAAATGGTGATCAAGCCACAATCGAAGAAACAATGCCATGGAGTAATAGTAATGAAATAAATCTTGCAAAGAAGCAAACATTAATTGTAATAATTTATCCCAATAAACATTTAGACAACCAACGGCCACACTAAGATGTATTTTCGATAACCAGGCAGGAAATAACGTATGTATAGGGCAAATTACACACCCAACTCGACCCCGGCCAAAAAGAACATACCAGAAAGTATTACTTATTCAAACAAAAAAGTTCAAGCGCATAGGTGTAAATATCAAACTATGTAGAATATATATTGATAATTAAGGTATCAAATACATGTAACCGATGAACGCCTTTTGACTGATAATTTGGAATAATAAAAAAAAATGTTTGAATGAAATCTGAAAAAGGTGGCATATATTGCCTGTTTCTCAGATATGAAGTTCCTGCTTTGGTATATTCAAAGTTCCGGTATCCTACGCTCTGATCTGTAAATAAAGGTATATTGACCCTACTCCCCCACCGCCAATGATTGAAATTAAAAAAAAAATATCATAGAAAGCAAAGGAAGTCAACAATAGGTTTTTTTATTATTATGTCATCGCATTGGCAAGTCCTAAATAAAAAGCAACAACAGTTTACCAATGTTTAAATGTCATAAGCCATTAAGACAATACATTCAATCCAGATTTGCACAAAAAAATGACTTAGAATCAAACTTAATCGTAGAAGGCAAACATGAATGTGTAACATCTGATACATCAACAACAGTCATCTAAGAACGGCAGGCACACACTTATTTAAATATTATACTGTTATATCAAACAATACGATATTATTTTACAGAGTACTTGCTTATTGTTTGTGTTTATCTCTTCTTTTCATTTGTATTAGTAAAATCATTTAATTTAAGATTTTTTCTATTAAGAGCTGCATTTGATTATTTTAAAAATAAGAATATGTGGTATGTTTGCCAATGAGACAACTATCCACCAGATACCAAATGGCATAGAAGTTAACAACTGTAGGTCAACGTACTGCCTTCAACAATGAGCAAAACTAGTTCTACATTTCATTCATTATATATTAACTATTTGTTTAATAATGTATTCCCTTTAGACTATTAGCTAAATGCAAATTTACTTACGTGGTGACGGTGGTATGGCTACAAAACAACATAACGTTTAGTACAATGTAGTTGTTTACGTCAGTCAATAACGGTCCGTACATTACAAATAATAAAATTACACGAAAGCATAAGGTAGACTCGTATAAAATTGTTCTACCCATACATAGCTAAATTTATTAAATAATATCTGAATTTTCTGAGTTTGGTGACGGTTTTCAGTTTCTTTGATCTTTATAGGGGCTTAAAGGTTGACATATACTTATGAATATTGATTCCTGTTGAAGTTCGATTGTTGTCCTTTTAACGCACTTTCCAAGATATTACGATTGTTGATCTCAGATTATTCGTACTGTAACAACATGTATTGAAATGATTTGAAAAATATTTACACTCATCAGAAAAGAGTCATTCGATCATTGTTTGAAAATTTACAAAGGAAAGAATAAGTCTGGAATAATATTTAGTTAAAAAGCGTGAAGAAATATCAGAACCCAAAAGCAGGAAAAAAAGAAATTTTTAATGCACTAACAATTTCTTAAAAGACTCACGTGTACTTATATATGGTTTTGGTTGTGGGGTAGTTGTCCCTACAGCTAAAACAAAAACAAATTATGTGATTTTAATAAAATGACGTACACCTTTTATTATGTAAAGTTGTTAACATGTCTATGTTTAGCACAAATGTTTTATTTATTTATAGGTCTTGTCTTCCTGTATGTTTTATGACGTTGTTGTATATATGATGAACGGGTGGATATTTAAAGCCCAGTGGCAATACAATGCATATTCAGAACGAGAACATGATAATGTGATATTCATATATGATTCTAAAAACAAACACACCGAGAAAGACATCATTAAAATAATGGACCTTTTGATCGATAACATATTCGTTGTGTTTGGTGGATTGATATTTCAGACAGTCGGTATTCCACTGGGTACTAATTGTGCATCACTACTGGCCAACTTGTTTTTTTTACTCATATTATTAGTTACACAGTGTGCTATTGACCTACTATAATATATATGGGGTCAGTAAATTAGACTAGTGGCCTTTTAAAGTGATCAAGTCTTCAATATAAAAAACCTACTGCCATTGGTCTTATACAAAAACAAATGCCAACAATGACAACTTGTTAGCTTTTAATGTGTTTTCTGGATTTATTTCTATCATTCATCATCAATTCTTTCGTCTGTTGTCCGGGTGATATGTTTCAGATTTTTCCTCAACGCCGTGTTGTTTTTATAAAGGGACGTAACATCACTACTAACCGTGTATTAAAATAACCCACGCCTACCAACCCCATGTAGAGTATACAGGGTCTCCACGCGGTCGCTTTTAACCAATAATATTCCCAGAAATGTATAGGAGGTAAGATCAGAAGCAATACAGAACCTTCTCAAAGACAAAAAGAAAAAGCATCTTGTCGATTGCTTGGTGGAGAAGCAGCAAATATCAATGTTTAAGTCTTTGGTTTGACCGGCCGGGTTTCCAACCCACTACCCGCCGTCATGAGACCACTTAGGCGGTTGTGTTCTTTTATGAAATTTACTTTTAAGTACAGCATATTATATTAGAGTGTAACGCAGCATGCTTTCATATTATCAGAATACATATGTTTGCCTTGCTGTCAATATTCGCGAGCATTATTCTTTGCGTGATTGTTTTTTTTTTATTGTGTTTTACTTTATTTTCGAACGTATGTTTTTGTTTTCTTTTATCATAATTATGCCTTCAACATAGAAGTGATTCATAACGTTATCACATAATTGATAGTTTTTCCTGTGCTGTTTTGTGTGAGCCTTTTATAGTTCAATGGTTGACGTTAAAAAAGGCAGGTTATATCTAACAAAACTAGTTTATCTCCTTATGTTTTCATATTCGTGTCCAAAATCAGAAACATATTAATGCTAAATGTTGTCCTTTGGATAAGAAGTTATTGATGTATAGTGTATCCATAACATATTCAAACTGTTTAAGACTTGAGATGTAATTGTATATAAATGTCGTACGGTTACTATCGTACTTACCGACACAAACTCTCGATAATAACGTTCGTTTGACAGTATCTGTATTTAACGCTTCAAACGAGGAAACTTCAATGAGGTCAAATTATTCACTTGCAAGTGAATAATTCATCATCAATTTTTCTTAGCTTATTTTGACAAAATTGAACCATACTCGCGGCTAAAAGCGAATAATCATTTCACTATTTCACTTTCATTATTGATTGAGCAAAAAAAAATCATATATTAGATTTTTTATATATCTCGTAGCTAGTGCCCCTTTAAAATTAAAAGGTTAATACTGGACAACGATCATATAACAAATACGTTAATTTTTGTTTTTGTTTTTTAACGTGTAAGGATTGTTCAAGGGTAAATCCATTACAAAAAATCACAATGCAAGCTTATGTTGTCGGATAACAAAAAAAAAAAAAAAACCACCAGGCAAAACTGTAGAAAAAAAGATAACAAAAAAAAAAATACATGGAACAATTCACACTTTTTTTCCAAATATGACTGATCTCAAATGCATGCTATAATTACTTCTTTTTTAAGAAATACTTAATTTAGTTAGTACCAATACATATCCTTCTAGCTAATGAACTTTCGATTGACGAAAGAGCAGCATAGTTGTCTACAGAAAACGAATACTTTGATTTAGGACTGGACGCCATGATATCCAATTCTTGCTGATTAATGTATGGTCCAACCCCTGGTGAAAAAGTAAATTAATTCTTATTTGTATTCAATATATTATATCCATGTTTAACTACTATATATGAAATATGTGTTTGAAGTCTTGCAAACATTGATTGTCTTATTTATTTGTTATTATTTCAGAAGAACATTCATGACACATCTTCTCATTGGTTAATTTGTGTGCAAAGATTTGATTTTTTACTTATAAATAAAATAGAGGTATGACCTATTGCCACTGATTCATTTCCCATCAGAGCTTTTTTCAAAAAGTTTTCCAATTTAAACTTAGATTCACGGTAGAACTGCTTCACATGTGCCTAACAGCATAATGACGTTTTCTGGAGAAACATGGGAACACATTGTAAATGCCTAAAGAGGTTTCAAGACTGCAATTGTGGTAAATTTGTTTAAATACTTTGTAATTATAGACGAAATATTCTGTTCGAATTAAAGATATGTTTTGTCTTTAAGATGCAAACTTATTCATTTTTTAGTTCAGGTATATCATTCAATGTGAAACTTAATGATTTGTGAAATTGTTTCAACACGCACGGTCTTCAACAACAATATGCAGCACTGACAAACAATTGTTTATCTTATGGAAATAGTTAAATTTATAGAGAAATCTTTAATGTTGATGAATTAAATTTAAGTAGGTCTTAACAACTTACAGATTTTGACTCTGTGTGTGAATGAATTTCAGGGGAAATTCGCCCTATTCCATGTGCTTATTCCATTTGTTTTGACAATGATTGTAGTTGTATATTTTACAGTGTTAGTTCGACGTAGCATGTTGTGGTATAGAATTTTATTCGGATTTCATAGCGAGATAGATACCGAAATGACTTCCCTTTTTGAATAATATATTTTTTTTTTTTATTGATCACGTATCTACTGCATTCACCTACACGTATGTTAAAATGTTGATAAGACTTTTACAGTCATACCGTCTCCCTTATATGCGCTCTTAAACCTTTTCATTTTTTACCGTTTTGTTTTATTCTAACCTACCTATTGCAAACATGATAATTCCTTGATTTTTTGCCTTAATTGCTTGCATTTTCGTACGCAATGGTTTAGTTGACGCTCCGTCTGTAACAACGATTGCAATCTTAGGGACTGTGTTTCCTCGTCCGCCACTAGCTCTCGTAAATCCATAATTATCAAGCAGTTGTAGGGCTTTATGTGTATTGGTAATGCCAGTAATGTATGGAATATTTAAGACAGCATTTATAACATCAGACTTTCTACGGTACGTATTTAGTGTAAATTGTATTTCTGCATCATCAGAAAATGTAATGAGACCAATCTTTATGTGGTCAGGACCAATTGTAAACCTATTCACAACAGATTTTGCAAATCTCTTCAAATCGTTGAAAGCAGTGATACCTATACTTGTCGAGCTATCAGCAATGAAGAAAATGTCGGCGACTGCCCGGCGACAAGCTACAAATATAATATATGTTCGATTTAATGTTAAATCATTGCTAGCATAAATTTCCAATGTGTTATAGATTTTTATTTTATAGCATACCATTTCCAAAACAATATATGTTTACGTTGCCACTTAAACTGTCTTTATCATACTCAAATGGAAAAAAAAACATGTCTTATAGTCATTGTTTTGCAATCTTTCATTCTATAAAATAAAATATTGCACATCCAAAGTTTGATTTGTCAGTGGTTGTATATGTAAGAGATTATCTGGTTAAGAGGAGAAAAAAACTACGACTATCCGACGTCTGAAATATATCAATTTAAAACTTTACGACAAAAGAGATGATTTCAGCTTCCCAATTGTGAACTTTTCTATGTAGCAACATTCCAGCAGCGCCTGCATACGGAGTATATATCTCCCAATTGATACGATATTACCGGGCTTGTATTTCCTATCATGATTTCCTTGATAGAGGACTGCTGCTCACAAGGAAGCTATTAAATCAAGAGTTCCAAATGGTGAAGTTGGAATCATCCCTTCGTAAATTTTACGGACGCCATCACGAGTTGGTTGACCGTTATGGAATAACTGTTTCACAGATGATATCGAATATGTTCCTTATGTCCTTACTACAATATCCTTCCCTTTTCACGGATTTGTAATAACATAAGGAAACTAAAGACTAAGCAACACGAACCCCACCTAAAACTGGGGGTGATCTCAGGTGCTCCGGAAGGGTAAGCAGATCTTGCTCCACATGTGGCACCCGTCGTGTTGCTAATGTTATTACAAATCCGGTAAATAGTCTAATTCGGTAGGTCACATTCGTGAAAAGGGAAGGGTATTGTAGTTACGACATGAGGAACATATCTGAGTAGGAGTAGAGTTGAAAATATTCATCACATTCGTCCCTCTTTTAAAGAATAAATAATTGAATTAATTCAACTCAAGTATATGATGTATGTAGCATACATATAATGCATGTGTAATATTAATAGAACAGATATGATATGGGGTATCCATCCATGATACGAAATAAGTACATGTACAGCAAAAAACACAAAAAGCAATGACTTGTTAAACACAATACAAAATGTACATCCAAAGCATCTTTGTTAATTCACCCTATGTCATCGCATTGGCAAGTCCTAAATAAAAAGCAAAAACAGTTTACCAATGTTTAAATGTCAAAAGGCATTAAGAAGATACATTCAATCCAGATTTGCACAAAACAATGACTTAGAATCAAACTTAATCGTAGAAGGCAAACATGAATGTGTGACAACTGATACATCAATAACAGTCATCTAAGAACGACAGGCACACGCTTATTTAAATATCATACTGTCATATCAAACAATACGATATTATTTTACAGAGTACTTGCTTATTGTTTGTGCTTATCTCTTCTTTTTCATTTGTATCAGAAAAATCATTTAATTTATGATTTTTTTCTACTTATAGCTGCATTAGATTATTATAAAAGTAAGAAGCTGTGGTATGATTGCCAATGAGACAACTATCCACCAGATTCCAAATGGCATAGAAGTTAACAGACAGTGTAACACCAGAGCTAATAAAGGCAGACATCGACCTAACAGCAGAGAAAATGGCAGAAATATTTAATAGCCTATGGGAAGAAGAAAATGGCCATCAGACTGGAGAAAGGGATTGATTTGCAAGATCTTAAGAACGGCGATATGACAGATTGTAACAACTGGAGGGGAGTTACTCTTTTACCTGTTCTCAGTAAAGTATTCTGCAGAAAGCTGATAGAAAGAATAAAGGAAGGAATAGACAAAAGATTAAGGAATGAGCAGGTAGGTTTTAGATCAAAAAGATGAACAACTGAACAGATTTTTATCCTTCGAAACATACTTGAGCAAACAAATGAATGGAGGTCAGCTTTAATCATACATTTTATAGACTTTGAAAAGTATTTGACTCAGTCCACCGAGAGAGTCCATGGAAGATCATGAAGAGCTACTTATTACCAGGTAAGATCATAAGAACCATAAAGGAAATATATACAGGATTTAGGTGTTCCGTCATCGATCAGGGAGAAACAGCAGAATGGTTTCAGATAAAATCAGGAGTGAAACAGGGATGTGTAATGTCTGGTTTTCTTTTCCTTCTAGTCATAGAATGGATCATGCGAAAAACAACTGCAGACAAAGCTAGAAGGATAAGATGGAACTTTAATACTGTTCTAGAAGATCTTGACTTTGCTGACAACATAGCACTTCTTTCCTCAAAACTTAGCGACCTTGATGAGAAAACGCAGAAATTAACAACAGAAGCTGAAAGAGTTGGAATGGAACTTAATCCCAAAAAGTGATAAACTCTAAATCCAAGCAAACAAAGAGTAAAGAGCTGATAACGTTATACGACGAGAAAATAGAAGATGTAGACAAGTTCACATACCTTGGAGCAGTCATGGACAAAGAGGGAGGAGGAAGTAGCAACATCAAGAACAGAATACAGAAAGCAAGAGGGATATTCTATCGCCTAAGAAATATATGGTATGCAAGAGGAATTGGCCGAAAAACAAACATACATCTGTATAAATCATTAGTTAGACGTATATTATTGTATGGAAGTGAAACATGGAAACTCACAAACCTCGAAGAAAAGAAACTGAACACCAATGCCTAAGAAAGATCCTAAAAATTAAATGGCAAAGTAAAACATCAAACAAAACAGTAAACGAAATTGCTAACACCAGAAACATCAGTTGTGAAATCAGAAGGAGACGGTGGACATAAATAGGACACATATTAAGGCGTGAAAGAGACAACAACAGTTATGTAGCAATACAATGGGCTCCGGAAGGGAAAATAATTAGAGGAAGGCCAAAAACTACATGGAGAAGAACAACTGAGAAAGAAAGGAACCAACAAGGATGGACAAGCTGGAACGTAGCCAGAACAGCGACAAAAGATAGAAAAGGGTGGAATAGCAGCGTGGAGGCCTTATGCGACTTCTGGCGCGGAGATAAGGATAGAAGTTAACAACTGTAGGTCAACGTACGACCTTCATCAATGAGCAAAAATAGTTCTCCATTTCATTCATTATATAATAACTATTTGTCTAATAATTTATTCCCTTTAGACTATTAGCTAAATGCAAATTTACTTACGTGGTGATGGTGGTATGGCTACAAAACAACATAACGTATATATAGTACAATGTAGTTGTTAAAGTCAGCCAATAATAAACAAATAATAAAATTATACGAAAGCATAACGTATATTCGTATAAAATTGCTCTACCCATACATAGCTAAATTTATTAAATAATATCTGAATTTTCTGAGTTTTATGACGGTTTTCAGTTTCTCTGATCTTTATCGGGGCTTAAAGGTTGACATATTCTTATGAATATTGATTGCTGTTGAAGGTCGAAATATTTCGATTGTTGATCTCAGATTATTTGTACTGTAACAACATGTATTGAAATGAGTTGAAAAATATCTACACTTATCAGAAAAAAGTAATTCGAACATTGTTTGGAAGAAAAAGAAAATTAACAAAGGAAAGAATAAGTCTGGTATAATATTTAGTTAAAAAGCATGACATTTGAAATATCAGAACCCCAAAACAGGAAAAAAGAAACGTTTAATGCACTAACAATTTCTTAAAAGACTCACGTGTACTTATATATGGTTGTGGTTGTGGGGTAGTTGTCCCTACAGCTAAAACAAAACAAATTATGTGATTTTAATAAAATGACGTACACCTTTTATTATGTACAGTTGTTAACATGTCTCTGTCTAGCACAAATGTTTAATTTATTTATAGGTCTTGTCTTCCTGTATGTTTTATGACGTTGTTGTATATATGATGGACGGGTGGATATTTAAAGCCCAGTGGCAAATAAAATGCATATTCAGAACGAGAACATGATAATGTGATATTCATATATGATTCTAAAAACAAACACACCGAGAAAGATATCATTAAAATGCTGGACCTTTTGATCGATAACATATTCGTTGTGTTTGGTGGATTGATATTTCAGACAGTCGGTATTCAACTGGGTACTAATTGTGCATCAATACTGGCCAACTTGCTTTTTTACTCATATTATTAGTTACACTGTGTGCTTTTGACCTACTATAATATATATGGTGTCAGTAAATTAGACTAGTGGCCTATTAAAGTGATCAAGTTTTCAATATAAAAACATACTTCCATTGGTCTAATACAAAAACAAATGCCAACAATGAAAACTTGTTCGCTTTGTATGTGTTTTCTGCATTTATTTCTATCGTTCATCGTCAATTCCTTCGTCTGTTGTCCGGGTGATATGTTTCAGACGTGTTGTTTTTATAAAGGGACGTAACATCACACTTACCGTGTATTAAAATAACCCGCGCCTACCAACCCTATAATCAATATACAGGGTCTCCACGCGGTCGCTTTTAACCAATAATATTCCCAGAAATGTATAGGAGGTAAGATCAGAAGCAATACAGAACCTTCTAAAAGACAAAACGACAAAGCATCTTGTCGATTGTTTTGCGGAGAGGCAGCAAATATCAATGTTTAAGTCTTTGGTTTGACCGGCCGGGTTTCCAACCCACTACCCGCCGCTATCGAAATGAGCACGCTGTCATGAGACCACTTAACCTGTTATGTTCTGTAATGAAATTTACTTTTAAGTACAGCATATTATATTAGAGTGTAACGCGGCATGCTTTCATATCAGCAGAGTACTTATTTTTGCCTTGCTGTCAATAATCGCGAGCATTATTCTTTGCGTAATGGTTTGTTTTATTGTTTTTTACTTTATTTTCGCACCTATGTTTTTGTTTTCTTTTATCATAATTATGCCTTCATCACAGAAGTGAATCATAACGTTATCACATAATTGATAGTTTTTCCTGTGCTATTTTGTGTGTACCTTTTTATAGTTCAATGGTTGACGTTAAAAAAGGCAGGTTATATCTAACAAAACTAGTTTATCCCTTATGTTTTCATATTCGTGTCCCAAATAAGAAACATATTAATGCTAAATTTTGTCCTTTGGATAAGAAGTTATAGTGTATCCATAACTTTTTAAACTTTAGACTTGAGATGTAATTTGGTTAGAAATGACGAACGGTTACTATCATACTTACCGTAACAAACTCTCGATAATAAAGTTCGTTTGACAGTATCTGTATTTAACGCTTCAAAAGAGGAAACTTGGATCGTGAATTCTTCATCTGGATTACTAGAAATGCCGTTCAATTCGTCAATATCTACAAGATTTCCAACTCCGATAACAAATACGAAAGCTGGTCGAGCCTTAATGATGGCAGCCTCGATCTGTGTTTGTTGCTTTCCACTCTCGTCGCCATATTTATCATAGCTGCCCGGATTTGTTTTTCCGTCTGTTAAAATAATAACGACATCCGCGACATCCGGCCTTTCTCCATTACCAGGTCCGTAAAGTATTAAGTGTGTATATTCCAGAGCAAGGTATGTTCTGGTGGCGTCACCCTGAGAATGGTCAATTCTTTCGATTGACTTTAACACGTCTTGTTTTCTAGAAAAATTATTGAATCCAAATTCTGGAAAGCCATAATTACTAAATGACACAGATGCAACTCGTGTCTTATCCGGGCCGACGTCGAGAAAGCTAACAATATCATCAATAAAACGTATTTGTCGTGTAAAGTCTATATGTGGTATACTTCTTGATGTATCAACCACAAAAGCGAGGTCTACCTTAGTCTGACAGTACGGTCTGGGCGGTATGAAACCTGTGAATGTCATAAAAATATTAATAGTAATAATTATACTTAAATGATAACATCAACATTAAGCAGAGATATATCGATCATTTTCGAAAGGGTGGGGTGTATTCCATAAACCTGAAGTAATATAGACTTTTTGGACGATTTTATACTAATAATTACATAGTCCATTGTATATCAGTTGATTTTATTCTTTACGAACAGAGTGTGTGTATATTTTGTGGTGGTCTTGAGCAGTATTATTCAATGAACAGCTGTGGTATCTATGATGCGTTTATTTACTGTAGCCAACATCCTGTTTTCTATATTATGAATATTTGAAAGCCTAGGATGTATAAGAACCGAACCAGTTGAAAATACATGCCAAAAATAGCAAAATCCATCTAAGGTCAACTTTGCCTGAGGGAGTTGAAACCGTAGTGTCTTTATAATTTCAAAATTTATAACCGGAAAATTTTAGAAAGGTTTGTTATAAATCTTGTCAGTACCGAAGTACTAACTACTGAGCTGACGATACAAATATCTTCGGGGACTGATAGTCCACCAGTAGAGGTATCGACCCAGTGCTGCAAAAAATGAATACAACACGTTAAATAATTTCATACGTCCAAAGTTGATTTCTGATGCCACTTCTTGACCATTAAAATTTATAACATAAACATAACGATGTGATATGATTGCCAAGGAGATACAAGAGAGGCGAAAGATACCAGAGGGACATTCAAACTCAAAAGTCGAAAATAACCTGACAACGCCATGGCTAAAAAAGAAAAGACCGACAGACAAACAGTAGTACACATAACAAAACAAGAAAACTAAAGACTGAGCAACACGGACCCCACCAAAAACTGAGGGTGTCTCAGGTGCTCCGGAAGGGTAAGCAGATCCATGATAACTTCCCACCATTAACGATGAATAGATAGACCGATTGTACATATTAAGTCGTTGTGTTTGAAAATGAAGGTTGGTGCCTTGTTGTTTCCCTGGTGTAATTGGATAAAAGTACCAATAAAACAAAGCAGCCTCAAACTTTTACAGACTAAAATAAAGTTTTTTTTCCATAACATGCGCATGAGCAAACCGTTTGGATTAAAATAAGTAGGTTTAAATAATATGTTTGTGTAAAAACTGCCGAAAGGTTATAATATTTTCGTATTTAAAAGGTAAAGTTTATGATAAAAGAGATGATTTTTCATTTCCTATTTTTAATTATCCATTTTTAGATGGTGACGTTCCCTTGTCACCATCTTATGATGTTTATGTATCTCAACTTGTTCGATTCGCTCGTGTATGTAACAACGTATTTGATTTCAACGAAAGAAATCTCTGTATTAATGAAAAATTATTACACCAGGGTTTTCGATATCACAAACTAGTCAAAACATTTACTAAATTTTATCATCGATACAAGGACATCATTCGTAAATATAAATCAACATGCAGACATCGTATACGTTTGGCATGATACGGGTTATGTTCTTCTCATATATTTCATGATGGTATGATACTTAACCCCTAACTGGAGGGATTGTACCTGATTTTCATATGATGAAGGCATAATCTTTCAATCAGTTTAATTGAGGTCTGGAGCTGGCATGTCAGAAACTGCTCGTAGTCCTTTGTTAATTTATGTATCATTGTCATTTTGCTTAGTTTCTTTTGTTACCTATTCTGACATCGGACTCAGACTTCTTTTGAACTGAGTTTTACTGTGCGTATTAGTATGTATTGGCTAGAGATATAGGGGTGGGTTGAGAACTCACAAAACATGTTTAACCCCGCCGCATTTTTGCGCCTGTCCGAAGTCAGGAGCCTCTGGCCTTTGTTAGTCTTTTATGTTTTTTTAATTTTAGTTCCTTTATATGTTTTGGAGTTTAGTGTGACGTCCATTTTCACTGAATCAGTACACAATTTTATTAAGGGGCCAGCTGAGGACCACCACCCGGCGGGATTTTCTCGCTGCTTTAAAGACCCATTGGGGGCCTTCGGCTGTTATCTGCTCTTTGGTCGGGTTGTTGTCTCTTTGACATATTCCCCATTTCAATTCTCAATTTTATTACATCTGCATTGTATGAATAATATTTGACTAGAAACCGTAAAAGATAACTCAAGCAGAAGAGAACCATAAATCAATTACAGGGAAAAATAACTCGAGCGCAAAACAAACATAAATCAAGAGCAAGGGAAAGATAGCCCGAGCGCAAAACAAAGATAAATCAAGCGCAAGGGAAAGATAGCTCGAGCGCAAAACAAAGATTAATCAAGCGCAATGGAAAGATAGCTCGAGCGCAAAAAAAACATAAATCAAGCGCAAGGGGAAGACAGCTCAAGCGCAAAACAAACATAAATCAAGCGCAAAGGAAAGATAGCTCAAGCGCAAAACAAACATAAATCAAGCGCAAGGGAAAGATAGCTCGAGCGCAAAACAAACATAAATCAAGCGCAAAGGAAAGATAGCTCGAGCGCAAAACAAACATAAATCAAGTGCAAGGAGATATAGCTCGAGCGCAAAACAAAGATACATCAATCACAGGTAAAGATAGCTCGAGGTTAAAAAAAAGATAAATAAAGTGTAAGGAAAGATAGCTCGAGAGCAAAACAAACATAAATCAAGTGCAAGGGAAAGATAGCTCGAGCGCAAAGCAAACATAAATCAAGTGCAAGGGAAAGATAGCTCGAGCGCAAAACAAACATAAATCAGGTGCAAGGGAAAGATAGCTCGAGCGCAAAACAAAGATAAATCAAGTGCAAGAGAAAGATAACTCGAACGTAACACAAACATAAATCAAGTGCAAGGGAAAGATAGCTCAAGCGCAAAACAAAAATAAATCAAGCGCAAGGGAAAGATAGCTCGAGCGCAAAAAAAACATAAATCAAGTGCAAGGGAAAGATAGCTCGAGCGGAAAACAAACATAAATCATGTTCAAGGGAAAGATAGCTTGAGCGCAAAACAAAGATAAATCAAGTGCAAAGCTAATGGAAAGATAAATCAAGCGACGTTTTGCACATGAACAATTATTTGCTCATAAATAATTGCCATGTTATCTTTTTTACTACCTGTTCAAAACAAAAGATATATTGTTGCTCTTTTATCTGTTCTGTTTAACACAAATGCCAAAAGTGTTCATTGTTAAACTTATAATCATAGATACGGTTAGGGCGTCGCTTCCTCGGCACTCGATTTTTTTAAGTTGAAAGATGGTACAGGTTGCACTTTATAAATACAGCTGTTTCACAAACCACGCCTCTTTTGGGCAGATATATAATATTCATAGATATTTTGTTTGGTTTACGTACTGGTTTCGAGATATGATCTCTATGTTTCATGTGATAAAGACATAACTTTGGAATGTTACCAGTATATATGTAGGACTCGTAAAGCGCGATGGGGACGCTAAAACGCGATGGTCACGCTAAAGTGCGATGGCCTACGCAAAAGTGCGATGGTCTGTGCTATTCATTTGAACACGCTAATGTGCGTTTACCGCAAAGGTAACAACGTTATCAACGTAAGACAGCATTATGACGAGAATGTTTGTCCAGAATAAGGATTTTTTTTCAAAAGAAAAGAAAGAAGAGAGAAACAAATGATCACAATCTGGAACATTTTTGGTCGTTGCTGGAAGAGGTTAACTTAATTTGTAAAAATGTAAAAAGAACTTTAACCAAAACAGCTGGGGTGCCAAAAAAGGTCTATTTTTTTACTTTCTAATTGAATATTTCTATAAAAAAAAATACAATTTGGTGTGTTATTTATGTTAAATAATGAATATACGTCAACTAGACAGCAACCTAACGAACATGTATCATCAGAATATATGATTGCCAATACGACAACTCTCTATCCAAGACCTAATGTTATTGATGTATGCAACTTTAGGTTAAAGTATGATGCCAGGAAAATGTTACCTCCTGTTTTTATTTGTGTAGATCTCTGGTATCTTTTGAAGAAAAGTATTTTTTTTTTTGCATGAAGTACGCAGATCACTGTATCATTTATTCTTTACCAAATACATTTATTATTTCATAAAAGTGTTTGTGTAGATATGATATATATAACAAACTTTGCGGATGTGTACCTGATTTTTTACATTAGAACTCCCACGAATATTAGTTAAGGCTATGCAGGTTATCTTCTTTGAATGAACATAGTAAAGGTAACTTGGTTATTTATTTTATTTATAATTTCAATCAGTCGGATGGAAAAAAGGATTTTCGGTGGATAACCTTAAAAGACTATAACGAAAGTTAGATTTATGAGTGTATTATGGTAAGGTAAAACCTAATTAAGAGTACATGGTTTATAATTGTGTACACAAGAGATTAGTATTTATGTGCAGCTGAGCTCGTCCTTTATACCAGTAAGTCAATAAAAAGTCAGATACCTGCTTATATAAGGCTTAAGAATGTGTCATTAAAACTGTAATGTTTCAAATTTTTTATGTTCATGCTGCACAACCTTTTATATTGAAACAAATAAAACAATTTTACTCAATTTAAAAATTACTGAATAAACTCACTTGTGGTTAAAATTGGTTGTGGAGTAGTTGTCCCTACAGCTGAAATAATACAAATATGGTAAACAATTTATTGTTATAATGATCATTATGTTCTTTGTTTAATTAAAAACATGTTAAATTAAGCACTACACAGAATGTGTTGTTTTTTATTTGTATATATTGTAGCTACCTGTTGATGCTGTTACCGTATGACTTCTACTCTGAAATACAGCCACTGATATAAGAGTAACAATTGTATTTTTTTTATATCAGCAGTTCAAATACTATGAGCTGAGTTTCAATAAATGCGAGAATTCTTTAATACGTTAGTGTGCCATGAGTTCATTAATGATGTTGTTATGCCTGCACCATGTCAGGAATATGACGGTTGTTTCCCATTCGATCCGTTGGTTGATATAGTCGAGCGTTTGATTTAGTTTTATGGACTTTTAAAATTTACATTGGAGTTCGGCATTTTTCATTAAAGCACTTTGTTATTGTGTTGTCCGTTATTATAGTGCAGATAACTTTCCCTATGCTCATTTCTATTGTTTTCTTAATCTATAGATAATATGTTCATTGATAGTCCACTTTGGGAAATTAAAAGGCAGATGGTTGAGATATACAAATCCAGTAAAACAACGCATTGTATTTTACTTGCCTGACCAAAGTAGGAAACCTCGTCACAATGTTTACTGTCATTGTCTTCATGAGTTTTTTGTCCTTGGTAGACATTGGACATTTTCTTGTAAAATTCATTCAGACACTATTAAACTCGTTGTGTATTGCTTGTCATATGTGGGGAGACAAGATGTATTAACCTTTTTAATAAGATGTTGTTTAATAATTTATGTCTTTCGGTTTCTGACTTACTTACCAACGCAAACTCTCGATAATAACGTTCGTTTTACAGTATCTGTATTTAGCGCTTCAAAAGAGGAAACTTGTATCGTGAATTCTTCATCTGGATTACTAGAAATGCCGTTCAATTCGTCAATATCTACAAGACTTCCGACTCCGATAACAAATATGAAAGCTGGTCTAGCCTTCATGATGGCAGCCTCGATCTGTGTTTGTTGCTTTCCACTTTCATCGCCATATGTATCATAGCTGCCCGGATTTGTTTTCCCGTCTGTTAAAACAATTACGACATCTGCTACATCCGGTCTTTCTCCATTACCAGGTCCGTAAATGTTTAAATGCGTGTATTCCAAAGCAAGATATGTCCGGGTGGCGTCACCTTGAGAATGTTTAATTCCTTTGATTGCATTCATTACGTCTTGCTTTCTTGAAAGATTGTTGAAACCAAATTCTGGGAAGTTATAATTACTAAATGACACAGATGCAACCCGTGTTTTGTCTGGACCTACGTCCAGAAAGCTGACAATATCTTCAATAAAACGTATTTGTCGTGTAAAGTCTATATGTGGTATACTTCTTGATGTATCAACCACAAAAGCTAGGTCTACTTTAGTCTGACAATATCTGTATCTGTTTGGTCTGTCCGGTATGTTATTTGAGGCTGCATTTTACAATAACGATAATGATAAAAATAGTAATAGTTATAACTACAATAAAATAATAAAATCAATAATAATGATATTAATTAAATATAGATACTTTGTAATATATAAAATTGGAAATTAAAATGAACGCGACAACAAGCCAAGTTGAAGACTATTACTAAAAATATCTATAGAGGTTAGAATACGAGTTCATTGAATGATAGCCGCCGACATTTAACAGTTTTAGGAACTGAAGCTTTATCAATCACCGTAGAAGAGATCGGTGAAAGAAGAAGAAATACTATCACTATTTTGATAAAAAACTTTTAAGATATGATGCTTAAATAAACAATGCCTATAGTAATTCAATTGTATGATACAATACACACAACAAAAAAAACACGAGAAGATAACATTTGTGCCTGAAGCAAGTCAGGTATTGTTCGATGATGTTCGTCTTTGTTTCTACTTTTTTCAGAGATTTTGGTTATTCTTTGATTAAAGGAGATAAGTACGAGTATTTATCTTTTTACTACATTGTAGGTGATATGTTCCAATTGTCGTAACCACAATCAGTCTACTTTTTCTCGAATGTGCCCTGCCGAATAAGACTGATCACCGGGTTTTTACATACATGAGTAACACGATTGATGCCACATGAATAGCAGGATTTGCTAACCTTTCAGAAGCACCTGATATCACTCACGGTTTTCGAGTCATGTGAAGTCCATCCCTTGTTTATTCAAGTTGTTTCCCTGTTGAAAGAATCATTGTTCAAATTCTATTTTGAAGGTTTTCTTCGACGAAAAGTTTACATAGTAAAAAAAAAATACGAGAGTTTCCTGACAACAATCAGAATACTGAAGATGTTTAAGTAGATATAAAAATAAATGTTAATTTGTTTCATGACGGGGTTATACAATTATTCTTTGTAATAATAATCTAGTAGTTTTACATAAGAACATTGGGGATTGTGTGTTCTATAAGAGGCACGAATTATGAAGTATCTAGAGTTGTAGAAAAATTAGGTTCAAGGTTCATTTCTGATGCCCCTTCTTACATATTAAAAATTTGAAATATAAAAATGAGAAGATGTGGTTTGATTGCCAAAGAAACAACTCCCCATTAGAGATCAAATGACGTAGAAGTTAGTAACTAAAGATCCCCGTACTGCTTTCAACAAAGAGTATAACCAATACCGCATAACAAATGTAAAACAAATCTAACAAGAAAACTAACGGCTTGATTTATGTATAAAACAATAAACGAAAAAACTTCATAAAAGGACAACCGCATAATTACAGGCTTTAGTAATTCTAGCTATTCAAGAGCACATGGTTTTCCATGATATATTTTGTAGACTGTTGTTTGTCTTTTGTCGTCTTTTGTTTGTTTTGTTTTTGCCGTAGCATTGTCAATTCTTCTTCGATTTGTTTGACAACCCCTTCGTAATCTGACGCCTTCTTTAAACTACAGGTTCAACATTGGTATAGGCGGAACTTAGAATTTCACCGAAATGTTTTAATGGAGATGATGAGGGGAGCATTCGAATCCATACTTAAAATTATGTAAAAAAAAGGCAGTTATCTAAACATAACATGTCTTTCCAAACACTAGTATGCCAATGGTCAGTTAAAATAATAAATAGGAGTAATACATCATTTTGGAAATATATTTGCAATAAGTTAAGAAACAAAAGATCATAGACTTCGTTTTAAGATGTTCAATAGCCATGAGGATTGAATTGGGATATAGAAATATGCTCGTACTATTGACCTATCTACTCCGACATTGAAAATAAATGTCATGAAAGAAAGGTGTCTGTTCGACTGTATAACTACTCCTAGGTCAACTGAAGTGGAGACGTTAAATCCAATGTTTCGTGTATTGAGAGTGTCACACTATCTGAACGTTACAATAGTATTGCAGTTCGCCTATTACATGTGTTACATGAAAAAATTCCCGACCCTTATCTTGACCCATCCACTTGTAGAACCTGTTTATTGAATTTTGTGTTAATTTGTCCCTTTGCGCTTGAACATTAATATTTGTCAATAAATAATTGCAGCTTTATCTGTGACACTATCTTACTGTCTCTTTTTCTGTTCTCTTTTGTACAAATAGAAGGAGTGGAACTAGTTGAAATAGAAATCATACAACATCTCTTCAAGGGAACCCGGTCTTTTATAAAGTTACAAAATGGTATGATCAATGCGTTTGATTAACAAATATATCAGGATTTAAACAAAATTATTGAAAATTTACGATTACTTAATCTCGTCATAGTTACATGTAGTTGCAGATAAATAGGGAAAAGGAAATTCATAACCATAAACTGCTATTAAATTTCACCTGTATTTTGGGTGCATGGCAAAACGAGTTTTGCACACAAGCGAAATCACATGTTGGTTCAATACTGACATTAAGATTCGTGTGAGGTAGCACTTTAAGTGGAATTAACATTCAAAATTACGATTTGTGTCCAATAAATGAAACACAGCTAGATCCACTAAAGTCCATACTGAAATTTAAGACAAGACAATGTGAATAGATATAGGAAGATGTGGTATGAGTGCCAATGAGACAACTCTCCATCCAACTTACAATTTATAAAAGTAAACCATTATAGGTCAAGGTACGGCCTTCAACACGGAGCATTGGCTCACACCGAACAACAAGCTATAAAGGGCCCCAAAAAATTACTAGCATACTTGTGTTCAATTCTGGAAAACTTTACCTTCTGATATGGAATATGTGGAAGACTCTGATATCTTTTGAAGAAAATGTGTTATTGTTATAAAGAAGTTATGCATTATCTACTTTTTGTTTGTGTATATATAATGTATGATATACTTTGTGGACATATATCTGATTTTTAACGTGAGAACTCTCGTGCACATTAGTTAAGGCTAGGGAGGTTATCTTCTTTAGATTAACATTACAAAGATAACTTAGTTACTTATTTTATTTATAGTTTAATCAGATGGGTGAAAAAATAGGATTTTCGGTGGATCATATTAAAAGACTAAGACGACAGTTAATATTGTGGATGCCTGTGCGACTGATCTCGTCCTATATACCATCAAGCCAACATCAATTCAGATATCCTTTTGAATAAGGTCTCATTAATACTGTCAGGTTTCAAATTTGTAAGGCAAAGTTGATTCAGAGGAATCTAAAAAAAATTATATCCATGTAAATTTCATCATCGTCAACAACTTTCATACACAACACCATACCATCACCCGAAAAAAAAAACAAACAAAAGTCAACTGCACGAGCATACAACTGAATACGGACGCAAAGATTTGTAATTGTTACATTTGCTTTTGGATAAAAGTCATATCAGATCTGCACAAGTCATATTCCTGCCCGGGGCAACTAATCGTCATAAGCGTTCCTAACAGCAACGTCGGATGGAGAACGTCGTTTCAAAAGACAGCGGAATTTGTTGAATAAATCAATAACACTAATACTAAAAGAAAAACTGACATTGGCATATACAAACCCAATGTGATATAGAGGTGTGAGACCACCAATTCACTTCCTCCAATTTAGAACGTATGTAAAAGTAGCCCTACTCTGACAAAAAAGTGCGTTCGATGTCATTGTTTACTTAGACTAACTAACAATTTTGCAGAAATGAAACTTTTGGTGAAAGAAAAATATATTTAGACCATTGTGAGCAAAAATATACTTGTCTGTGAGTTTGCATTAAAAATTGAGAATTAATGCTCTCAATATTATACTAATTTAAGATTTCCAGAAACCCAGGGGTTAATTTTAGTAGTACTTGTCTTTCGGAGGGTAGTTCTTTCTTACAAGTCTTTAAACATGGGTTGAAAATTGGCATATATAAAGGTGATATATGTACAATTCAGGATATACCTGGTTTCTATAAAGTTAAACTTAAGGTAAAATATATAGAAAGCTGTGAAAATTGCAAAATTTAGTTGAATAGATAGGGATTTTGAACAGGGGGTCTGACACCTTTAAATTGACATATAATTATAGACATTGACTGTTGCCGATTGTTTTTTACCTTCCAACATCTTATGCCTTTTCTTGTTAATTACGTTGTTGGTATACTATTTCATCTACATATACGCCTCGACTTTTTATTAATGTTACGAAAACTCACATATAGAAACAATTTAAAATATTCAATCAGTAAAATAACTACAGAGACTCACGTGTAGTCAAAATTGGTTGTGGAATAGTGGTTCCTACAGCTGAAAATAATAAACAATTTATCATCAAGATCATTATCTTCCGTCGTAGTTGTTAGACATGTCAAATTAAGCACTATACAAAATATTTTTCTTCATGCAATTTTATTAGATCGAGTCTACCTGTTTATGACGTTGCTATATGAAATGACGTGCAGCCACTGCGAGTTCGGGACGTCATGCCTTGATATCAGCAGGTCAAATACTCTGAGCTTTGTTCAGTAATTACGAGAATTCCTCGTAACCTTATTGTGTCTTGTGTTTACAGTTGTTATAGTGCAGATAGCTTTACCTTTGCTGATTTATTATTATTTTCTTTACCTATTTAAAATTGTCTACTTTTATATAGATTCAGTTCTGAAACTATTGATAGTCCAACAGGCAGAGGATTGAGATATTCAAAACTATTAAAGTTCTGCATTGTGTTTCGTGTGCCTGTCTCGTGTTGTTCGAATGGTTTTGATCGTTTCTTGTATAATTCATCAAGAAATGTTTAAATTTGTGGTGTATAGCTTAACATATGATGAAGACAACCGTCTTTTTTAAGTCGTATATATTGACCTTTTTAATAACGTCGTTTAATTAATAAATGTGGTTCGGTTGCTGTCTTACTTACCAACACACACTCTCGATAATAACGTCCGTTTGACAGTATCTGTATTTAACACTTCAAAAGAGGAAACTTGGATCGTGAATTCTTCGTCTGGATTACTTGACATGCCGTTTAGTTCGTCAATATCTACAAGACTTCCGACTCCGATGACAAATATAAACGCTGGTCTAGCCTTAATGATGGCAGCCTCTATCTGTGTTTGTTGCTTTCCACTTTCATCGCCATACGTATCATAGCTGCCCGGATTTGTTTTCCCGTCTGTTAAAACAATTACGACATCTGGTACATCCAGTCTTTCTCCATTACTTCGTCCATAAATGTTAAAGTGCGTGTATTCCAAAGCAAGATATGTCCTGGTGGCGTCACCCCGAGAATGTTTAATTCTTTTGATTGCATTTATTACGTCTTGCTTTCTTGAAAAATTGTTAAACCCAAATTCTGGGAAGTTATGATTACTAAATGCAACAGATGCAACGCGTGTGGCGTCTGGACCGACATCAAGAAATCTGACAATGTCTTCAATAAAACGTATTTGTCGTGTAAAGTCATCATGTGGAATACTTCTGGAGGTATCAATCACAAAAGCGAGGTCTATTTTGGTCTTACAGTACCTAGATATGTATGATCTATCTTGCATATAATGATAATTATTGAAAGCACGGCTTCTACGTTGTATATGATCTGAAGCTGGATTTAAAATTTACAATTATGATAATAGTATCATCAAAAGTAAAAATCGTCGTGTAAACCTTAAACCAAGAGTTCCAAATGGTGAAGTTGAAATCATCTCTTCGTAAATTTTACGGACGCCATCACGAGTTGGTTGACCGTTATGGAATAATCGTTTCACAGATGATATCGGATATGTTCCTTATGTCGACCGTAACTACAATACCCTTCCCTTTTCACGAATGTGACCTTCCGAATTAGACTATTTACCGGATTTGTAATAACATAAGCAACACGACGGGTGCCACATGTGGAGCAGGATCTGCTTATCCTTCCGGAGCACCTGAGATCACCCCCAGTTTTGGTGGGGTTCGTGTTGCTTAGTCTTTAGTTTTCTATGTTGTGTCATCTGTACTATTATTTGTCTGTTGTCTTTTTATTTTTGGCCATGGCGTTGTCAGTTTGTTTTCGATCTATGAGTTTGACTGTCCCTCTGGTATCTTTCGTCCCTCTTTTATAGTGGTATGTGTCCACTTTTGAAGAAAAGGAGAGGAGACAGGTATATATTTTGAGATTCATTTGCAATGGGCTATCTTCATATACAACTATAATACGAGAATTCTACACTCTACGGGTTTGTCAGAACTACACTGTTCTATCTCCACACTCCCATTGGATTATAATTGCTTATTCATCTAGTTAGTTTGGAGAAAAATATTTTTGTAGTATTGTATCTCCACTATTTCTCATGTATTTTTGCTGTTAAATAATTGTTATCAAAATTAGTAGTACTCTTATTAAATGATTTGCATGGTTTGAACTCAATCTATGAGCAATTCTTAGAAAATCCAGCAGTACAGAATTGGGGATATTACAAAGTTACAAAGTCCATGGTCTATCTCCAGTGGAAATATGAGGCTAAATTTCTAAAATTACATTGTTTGTAGTGAAGTTTTAATCTCCAAAATAGGAGATTCATTATTTATCTAAGTTGCTTGTCTATTAAAATAATAATCGAAGACAGAGTTACTCTTTATGTACGTAAATTCGGTTCATATATAACTGTTTATGTCTCAGTCAAAAATTTATGATATTGCGCTTTTAAAGTTTAATTTAAACTTTTACCACTATTACCAAATGGGAAATACATCATTATATTAAGTTAATGAATAACAATTATGAAAAAAGATAACAGTATTAAAAACTATAACTAGAGGTTCTAAAGAGCCTTTGTCGCACATTTGAGTTGATGTGCATCTTCAACAATAGCCACACTCCAGCTTCTGAATAAAGATAAAAAAAAACTCTCCAACTTTAAAGACTAGAATATAATTCATGATTAAAAGTCTCTTTTTTGATGATCCTTTTTGCTGTTTACAGTTTGTCCCAAAAATGCAATAATGGGTAAACATCACGATCATTTAAGGGAAATAAATCTTATAAGGGGTAACTTGATAATTTCCATTTCGTGACTTATTTGTAGTTCTTGCTGATCATTAATGTTTTATTTAATTTTCTTTTGTGCTACTGTATTGTTTTCCCAATAATAGTGGGTAAAAATCCTAAATAACGGGCAATAACCCCTGGGAGTTGCCTGACAATTTAAGCCATATTGACGTAAAATAAGATCAAGTCTTGCTTATCGTTTTGCTATTTAAATTTTCTCTATATCTATTATCGTTTAATGTTAAAAAGCAAAATTGAAAAAAGGTCATTTATGGGAAATGACTCCTTCCGAGTTTCTCCCAATAACTCCTATAAGTGTGCATAAAAACTGGTTAAAACACATCATATATGTTCATGTACCAATTCATTAACACGTGCACGTTTGTTTTCCCGGAGGAGTCTGATGTTGTGGTCGGGGTTGTTTGTTTGTAACGTAAAATTGTTATTTTTTGGGGGGGAAGGGGGCAATTTCTTCACATTTGTCATTTTCATTTTTTTGTGAGATGTGTCATCGGGTCGATTGACATGATTGATATATTGTATTTTCCCTCTGTGTATTGTTATAGTCCCCTTGTTGACCTTCGTTTTTATCAGAGGCTTCTATAAGCGTTTTAATGTAACAGTTTGGCAAAGGTGTAATGATCCCCTAGTGTCTTTCACCTGAACAAATTTTACTATAGAGGCATAAATTTGGTTTTAAATCATAATTAAATTGTACAGTTTCGCTATATATAATCCCTGCAGAAAATCTTTTCTCAACATACATGCTAGAAGTTAACCAGTTTGTTTTAAAAGAGAGGTGAAAGATACCAAAGGGTTATTCAAACTCATAAGTCGAGAATAAAGTGACAACACCATGGCTCAAAAAGAAAAAGACAAACAGACAAACAACATTACACAAAACACAACAGAGAAAACTCAAGACTGAGCAACACGCAAAACTGGGGTGATCTCAGGTGCTCCGGAAGGAAAAGCAGATAAGGCTTCACAGGTAGCACCCGTCGTGTTGACAAGTATGTACAAACCCGCTGATAAGTCTAATTCGGTAGGTCACATTCGGGGAAAAGGGGAAGGGATTGTAGTTACGACAATTGGAACATATCCGTTGTCATCTGTAAAACAGATATTCCATAAAAGTGAATCAACTCGTGATGGCGTCCGTAATATTTACGAAGGGATGATTTCAACTTCACCACTTGGAACTCTTGGTAAAAAATTAAAATTTTTACTATATAATACGATTGATACGACCACTCCAAACCTCCATTTTTTTTTTCTGAAAGGGGCATGATCGGTACATTTAGATTGGATTATATATCATATTTGCTTTTTGCTCATTATTTTGTACATACATGTAAATCAGGCCGTAAGTTTTCTCGTTTGTTTTAAATTTGTCATTTAGGGGCTTTTTAAAGCTGACTATGCGGTATGGGTTTTGCTCATTGTTGAAGACCGCACAGTGACCTATTGCTGTAAACTTCTATGTCATTTGGTCTCATGTGGAGAGTTGTCTTATTGGCAATTATACCACATTTTCTTTTTTTATTTTTTAAGTCAATGAAATACAGGATAACTTTACTCCGAAATAATAACATGGATTTATGGATTGTAAGAGAATAGGAAATTCAAAATTAGAACGTTGGACTACCGTTCAGCAACTGCTAGCAGTCTAAGATCGGTACTTTGTGTCCATTGCCTTTTTGTGATTTGTGTTTGTGTAATAACCGATCAGATGAGACAAGTCAAGTCCTAACCAGCTGGTTATATCAGTTTTCTCTTATGTTGTGTTGTTACATTACTGTCCAAGGTAAGATGTATGGTTGAGCGCTCATAAACTTTCTAATCATTGGTATGTAGACAAGTGAATGTCATTGGTTGTTGTCATGTAAGATATTTGTTTTCTCTTTTATTTTTAATTATGTTTTGTAAAACATCTGTCTTCATCATGTTTATCCTTTGATCTATGGAGAGATGTTTCATTGGAAATCATACTACATATTCATATTTTCATATTGAAACTGCTGTTCAAAATCTCTGGTGTATGGTTGGCTGGGAGTATTGTACACTAAGCAAAAGTCACACGTTGATTCATGCTGAGAGTTTTTGTTCTTGCGAATTGTCAATATAAGCTGAATTTACATCAACAACTATAATCTATGTGCATCCTATAAAAGTAGTTGCACCTACCGAATTTTAAAGATGTATATAAGACACTTATAATCATCGAAGGATTGTTTTATAATTCTCTCGAAAAGCTAATTCCTATCGTATAAATTATCTTATACATTGTCTAGATTTCAGATGTCTTAGTTCATTTGTACGCAATACCATTGAGCAATCTCAGGTAGATAATTTTGGCTGGTTAGGGTTATCGTCTTGTAAAAAAGATAACTTATTTATTAGTTTTACTGATATGTCAAATTGTTTAACACATAAGATATTCGGCTGATAAGCTTCGAAGTTAACATACAAATATCAAATAACTTGTATATAAATACACAATTTACTAACAAGATAGCTGCATATAATTGTAACTGTTTCCGTCCGAATTCTTAACTTAAACTCTAATGTAAGTTAGAATAAAGTTTATTCTACTATGATTGTGATTGTCTCTCATGTTCTATTTGGCCTTCAATACTTTTATTTCGACTTTGTTGAAAAGAGAGGGAACTACGTCGCATTACTTGACTAGGTCAAGAACAAACTGTGTATAAGATTGCTGTTTGGATTTGTCTTGATTTGTTTTACTGTCCAAATGTATCATCATGATGACATAAAATTCAATATAGATTATTGATTTATAAATGTAAACATGTTGGTTGTATACAATCATCAAATGGAAACTTGTTACAAATAGTTTAAGAAAATACTTACTGATGACATCGGAGGCCTGTAAAAGTGAATATGATTGTTCGGATAATGCTCTTTGAAAACGTTTACAACGAGTAGATATACATTTTCAGTCTTTACTTATTTAGTAAAAAATGTTAGTTTTTCGCATTTATGCAGTGCCTATATTTTTTATTGAGGTATTTTAGAAGAGCACTTCAACCGGTTGTTAAATGAAAACAGGTTATAGAAACTCATCAAAATGTACATAAATCCATATTGGCATATGTTGACTTTCCCGTCCAGTGGTAAAACCTTTGCTGACGTGGGGCGTACGTTTGGCTTTGCAGGATGTATAAATACGTAGTCACGTTATAAATCCTATGCCTCGTGTAGGGATAATGCCACATAGAGCTATAAAAAATACACTCGGTGATGTGTCTGTAAGTGACTTGTATTTGGTGTGTGAGTTAATCGGTCCACGCTACGTATCAAAAGCCTCTAGAAAACATTTGTTGATTTTTATAATACAATAGGTAGCTCAACTCACAAACTGAATAATAATTTTATGTTGGTACGTTTGTGGGTCAAAGGCCCAGATTAAAACCAATATTCTCTAGAAAAATGTGTTAAATCGTTAAAAGTCTTAACCCAAACATTTGTTGTTGTTTTTTCAATTAGAACTTTCTCGGAATCCCAGGATTCTATTCATCTGTATCGCATATAAGCATATCATA